GTGTGTGTGTGTGTGTGTGTGTGTGTGTGTGTGTGTGTGTGTGTGTGTGTGTGTGTGCGTGCGTGCGTGCGTGCGTGCGTGCGTGCGTGTGTGCGTGTGCGTGTGTTAGCAGAATATCTCATGACCCATTTACGAGATTAGGCATCACAATATTTTTAAGGTTCAACCAGTCAGACTCCATCATTTCTCAACATGATTTCGGTGTAAAACATTAGAATGAAAGGCTGCGGGCTATCAAAAATTGCTTGTTCTTTATTTACTTGTTGATGAAACTGTCTGCTTCAACAAGTTGTGTATCATCACATTTCCCCTCATCCTCCTTTCAGGCTGTTTATTTTTTGATAAAGTCCAAATATGCACCAACTCAACTCTGTTCTCTGTTTCTCATTAAGAGCTAGTTTAAGGTGTAATCAGCCAAGCTTCTATGGGGCCTTATGAGAAACTTGATGATCAATGAGGATGTCAGCGCCGGCTGCTCTCTAACACAGTTTAAAGCTCAGTTAATGTCTGCAGCCCTCAGGTGAGAAACAGTATTGACTGAATGTTTTCCAGATCATTAAGGTAACTCCAGGACATGAAAAGGCGGAGCTTTTCCCTCCTTTGGCCTGGCTTGTCATCTGGGTTTTTATGTGATCCGGTTTTTTGGGGGTTGACAGCTCCGGGGGTTTGACGGAAACACGAGTGGTCGTGCTGTCAGAGCAGAGGAGAAGGCTTTGTTGTTGCTGCAGCGTCTGCCAGCCATGAGAGTAAAAGGCCTTTAAGGATCAATGACTTCTCTCTGGGTTGATGAGCAGAGGCAGGCAGATTCAGAGGAGGGTGGGGTGCTCACCGGGACTCTCTGTTTTCTTTTAACAAAGACAAACGGCATGATGGGTTCTGACAAACATCCCGGGAGTTTCATTTAGGCTATCTGATGATTTTATGTTGAGTCCTGAGCTGTATGATTTGGGATGGTTTTAAAATCTGCCTGTAGTAACTGTCTGTCTAACCATCAGGGAGAAAAATGCATGAAGAAATACTGTTGTGGTTATTTAGATTTTACATATTTGCTTTGTGGCTCTATTTGGCCTCGTAGAAAGCTGTTTTTGGACAAACGTCAGCTTCAGATGGCATAACAGCAGCCAACTATTGTGACTAACTGCTGTAGCTGTAACCGCTTATCACTATCTAGAAAGATACTGGACTGTTTGATATAATTTAGGATAACCTTTTTAATGTTTGATTTTAAACTTTAAATTGAATATAATTCAGCCCCAAAGATTCAAACCTACATTAAAAACAACAAAAGCTAAAGCTGATTTGTGACCCTCTGTGGCAAAATGTCATAATGAGAACATGCTGCTGTGCCAAAAACATTAAAATACTATTTTTAAAATGAAAGTAAGTCCATGAAGACACCATCTAGTCACCCTAAAATAGCATTTAATCTACCCTTAATTAGAGGATTTCTAACAGGTGTGTCTTCAGAAATAATTCTTTTAATTTTAATCTTTTTACAGTATTTTAAATTGACCTGAAGTAATATCAGGAAATCTCTTTTTATAATGTTTGGCTTTACTGTGGAGCTTGATGAATCCCCTTTTTTAAAAATGGGACTGGAATTCTCATTGATATAACTCAAAACCAATGAAAATCTATCCTTATAACCTGTACTTTCACCTGTCGTAGATAAAACCCGGCAAATTGATCAAATCACCAAATTTCAACAAATTTTGTAGCATTTTGATGCTTTTAAGATTGAGAATTTGAAAATAATTGCTCAAAGTTGGAAGTTTCCTCAGTTTGATTTATTTTGCCAGCACAGTTCACATATTATCATGGCATCATGTTTCTAGAGCGCCACGTCACTGGTCCGATTAATCAGCTAAAACCCCATGAAAGAAGAAACAAGTAAACATTTTATGTTTTCTTTTCACTCTGTCACCCAGAAATATGTGAGTAAATTCCCCACGGGCACAGCTCAAACCGAGGAGTCACGTCTCCGTTTATCCACCTCCACCCCCAGCGTGCATAGTAATTCTCTGGCCGGGATCCGGCGCTCTGTGCTGGACGGTCCAACAATCTCTGGCGGGCGGCTCGTCTTCTGCAGCTGATACTTTGGCTGACGCTCTCACTGCTGAGCCATCATGCAGGAGGCGGGGTGTAGGGAAGGTGCTGGACAGTTTGCTGGTGTGTGGCACCTCCAACCACTTGATAAACTGGACCTGCTCCCAACATCAGGCCGAGACATGAGCTCTGGCAGAGCAGAGCTGTAATTATAATGGGGGTGGGGGTGGGGG